CTTTGGCCATTTCTCCCATTGCCCCTTGACAGAACGATGACCACTGCGGGCTCCCCCAACCCTGAGATCCTACAACACCAGAGGGGTGACCTAGAGTCTGGGTTCCTCCGGTCTTATGGCCTCACTACTGTCCTCACCAGCCTCAGGGCTGCAGAGAGAGGCAGAGAAACAGAGAGAGAGAGACAGAGACAGGGGGAGACAGAGACAGAGAGAGACAGGGAGAAACAGGGAGAGACAGAGACACAGAGACAGGGAGAAACAGGGAGAGACAGAGAGACAGAGAGAGACAGAGACAAGGGGAAACAGAGAGACAAGGAGAGACAGACACAGACAGAGACACAGAGAGAAACAGAGACAAGGAGAGACAGAGACACAGAAAGAGAGACACAGCGGCAGGCAGACTGGAGAAATGACGCGCAGGGCCTCCCTGGGGAGGGGTGCAGGGGTGCAGTCACCAGAGGCAGGGCAGTTCGGGAAGTCTTGAGTGTGTACACTGTTGCCTGAGCAGGTCAGCCCTTAGGTGCCGAGTCATCTGACACAGGCCACCCTTCATCCTGGCGGCTCACCCTCGGGGCCACGGGGGTACCTCCAGAATGCTCCCCACAAACGGGGAGGAGACCCATGTGGGGCCCTGAGGGATGGCAAAGGACAGGGCGGTGCAGAGGCGAGGCTCTGGGAGGGGCACTTGCTGCTGACTTGGCCTTCCTGGGGGCAAGCAGGGTCCCTGTGCCATAGTGAGTATGTGTGGGGGCAGTGGCTAGGGACGGTGAGGGACAGAGGTGGCTCTGGTGGGGGAGAACCAGGGAGCACCGCAGCGGGAGCACATCCCAGGCCGCGGATCTGACCCAGCGGACCCACAGGGGAATGTCCTGGACAGCCTGGCATCTGCTCTCAGCACAGAGGCTGTGGAACGCGGGGTCCAACTCAGACAGGTGAGGGGCCAGGCTCTTTGTGTTGGTGAACACAAGGCAGCTGCTGGCCACGGGGGCTGTCCCTGCAGGGCAGTGAGGCAGAGGGCAGGCGATGGGGCGGAACCGCCTGGAGGGGGAGTGGGGGGCCCAGGTTAGGCCCAGAGGGTTACGGGATACCGGCAGCCAGACTCTGGGGACACAGGAGGAAGGGCCCAGAGCACAGCACAGAGCCCTGGTGCCTACTGGTAGTGCTCTCCAAGTCCGGTGCGTCCCCGTGACCCTGAAGCCGTCTTGTGTTTGCTTAATTCTAATTCTGTGAGATTCTGTCTGCTTGGGGAGTGGTGCAGCCCTGTCACCTCTCTGGTCCCTTCCCTGGGTGCCCCCTGCCTGTCACATGGTCGCACGAGGAGCCCACAAGGCACCCTCTCAGCGTTCAGGTCGTGGGACTGAGGCTGCGACTGTCAGGCTCTGCAGGGACCTCCCCTGGCACCTAGGGTGAGGGCCGGGTGAGGGACGCTTCCGCCCTGCGCTGGGGAGCGGGTGGCCCTTGGGATTCCCACCAGGCCGTTGGCCAGCTCCTCCACCCTCCCACCAGGAGCCGCACCAACTTCAAAAGCCTAATTACTCCTGATTTGGGCTGTTTCCTCGGTGTCCCGGCAGGTGAGAAAGCCCCCGTTACTTTCACTTTTATATGCAAGGTATGGGGAGAAGGGGAGAGGCAGCTTCGCTGGGGAGGGAGGATGAAACAGAACGACCAATTAGGGAGGCTGAGCGTGAAGGTGAGAAGTTATAAAGAGAGGGTCCCTCGCCCCAGGGGGGGGGGAGGGGGAGGAGGGGAGAGCAGGGGAGAGGAGGAGCCACCGGAGGGAAGGTCCTCCAGGCAGGGCGTGAAGACAGGAAGGTTTCCCCAGCTAGAAAACCCCGAGTCTCTCTCTGGGAGCCCTCCCTCCTGTCTACTCTGCCTGGGAGCCTGTGGGGACAAGGCTCCTTCCCTCGTGGCTGGTCTTGGGGCAGAAGGGACGTAGGAGGGTAAATCTGCTGTCCCCAGGGAGCCCTGAGGTTGGGTCTGCCAGATACCCTTCTCCTCAGGAAGCAGAATTCCGGAGTGTGAGAATCCCACCAGGAGCACAGCGGGGGTTCGGGGGCACCCCTTCTCTCTGGGGCCAAGGGCTGGTCCAGACTTGTGCTAGGGTGGACTGCCCAACCGAAGGGCCCCTCCCGGCTAACCTGGGAAGCGCAGGGTTGCACGGGAGCATGTGCGGGTGCGTTCAGATAGAACACATGTGGCCCAGGTGAAAAAAGGGGCATACCTGTGTTGGAGGGGGCCAAGGCAAGGTAGCCTCAGGGGCAACAGAACAAAGATCCCGAGGTGTGGGGCAGCCAGGAGGCTGGTGACCGGGCCCTTCTTTTCGGGAGTTGCGCGGGGGCGAAGGGCGCTTCCTCCTGCGCCCAGGAATGCAGCCGCGGCGGCGGCGGCGGTGGCGGGTTCTAATTAGAAGCCTGCGCGGGACCCGGCGGCCGCGGGGCTCTCTCGGACGTGCTCCCCGGATCCCCGCGGCCGGCGGGGCGGGCGTCAGTGTCCCCGTAGCCGCAGGCACTGTCGCCGCAGCCCACGCTCCAAGGCCACAGGGCGCTGCAGGTGCGCCGCGCGCCGGTGCGGGCCGCCGGGAGTCCCCGAGTGCCGCCCAGCCGCCTCTCGCAGGCCCCTGGACTGGCCCCGGCCTCCCCTTCCGCCCCGCCCCGCCTGGCTGTGCCTGGACCCGCGTCCCCACCCGGGCTCCCCTGCTCCTGAACCATCTCGAAGAGAAAAATTATTATCGGATTAGATGTACTTCAGCTCGCTCGGTCCCCCCCCCTTCCCCTCGGCGTAATTATTATAATTCCAGGCAAGCCGTAGTAGAAGGTTCCTGTGTGTGTGTGTGTGTGTGTGTGTGTGTGTGTGTGTGTGTGTGTGTGTGTGAGAGAGAGAGAGAGCGCGCGCGCGCCCGCAAGCATGGGTGTGGGGAGCATTCTCTACAACTCCGGGTCTTCTGGTCTCATGCCCCCACTTGTGATCCTCGAATCTTGGGGCTCTCAGAGCGTAACCCGGCACACTGCCTGCCTCCTTTCCCTGTGGCAGGTGACCTTCCCGGTGGGGGCTCTGCCAAATTAGATACCGAAGGGAGGGTAACACTAACCCCCTACACACGCCATATCTGTGCAATGGATACCCGGGACCCTTCCTTTAGTTCATCGGCATGTCCATCGTCAGATTCAGGAGGATCTCGCTGAAATGTGCCTCCGCTGGGTGGACCATGCAGCCCCCAGGGCTCTCAGATGTGCGGCTCCACTCGAGAGCCTTCTCTCTCTTCCCCAGCGGCCCCTCTTTCCTTCCCGGTCCAGACGGAGGCTCACGGAGAAGCCCCTCGGGCCGCACCCCCTACCTCCCACCCAGAGCCCGAGAGGCCAGGGCTGGTGCTAGCCCCAGTGGTCCATCCCGCCACTCCCGGCAGGTCCCGCTGTCTTTACATAACTGCGCTGCTGCCCCAAGCTGTTGGGTCTTGTCTCCCCGACTTTGTTTGAAGGTGTGCGTGCGTGTAAGACCGGGTCCGTGAGGAACGTCTCCTTCTTCCCCGCGCTGCGCCCGCTCGTCCGCGCAGCTGCTTTCGGCCTCACGCTGCCTGGCTGTGGGTGCCATCTGCGCAGACAGCGTTCCCGCCTCTCCCCAGCCGCTGCGCCCCTTCCGACGCCAGGGGCTCCGCTAAGGCCCGGGACACCAATGTCCCCGGAACTCCGACACCTAGTCCCAGCCCCGGCCCGAACAGGTCGAAAGTGGCCGCCAAGGAAAACAACCCGCCCGCGCTGCGGAGCCGGAGGGGCAGGGCGCGGGCTCCGGGCCACCGCGGGGCCCTGCCCGAGGGGACGGCGGCGGCTTGTGGCCGCTCACTTACCACCAGATCGGGTAGCTGCCCAGCGCCTGCTTCAGGGCGTAGAGGAATAAGAAGTATCCGAGCAGGGCCATCGCCGGGCGGGAGAGCGCGAAGGGCCGGGAGTCCGCCCCGAGAGCACGGGCGCCGGGGCGGGCCGGGCCCTGGGAGCTGGCGGGCGGCGGCGTTGGGCCCTCCTGCGGCCGCGAGGTGCGCGGGGTGCGCGGGTGTGCGCGGGTGCGCGGGCTCCGAGGGCGGCGCTGCGCCAGGTGGGCCGGCGGCCGGGCGGCGGGCCGGGGCCCGGGGCGGCGCGGGCCGGCGGGGGCGGGGCAGCGCCGCGGGGGGCGCCCGCCGGGGCCAGGGCCAGGGCCAGGGCGGGGCGGGCAGGGGGCGGGCGGGGCCCTGGAGCTGGGGCGGCGGCGGCGGCGCCTGCCCCTCCCGTGGCCCCGGGGCGCGCGGGGTGCACGGGGTGCGCCAGCTCCCAGGGCCGCGCTGTGCCAGATGGGCCGCTGGTCGGGCGGCTGGCGGGGATCTGGATGGTGGTCCCAGACGTTCCCTCCCAACCCCAGAGCAGCGCCTTCTCGAGACTCTTGGGCCGAGCTGTGGTGTGGAGCGCCGCGCGCCCTGCGCTCGCCGTGAGACGCACGGTCCGGCTCTCGCTCCTACTCCTGCTCTGTCGTGCGCTCTGTCTCTCGCTCTCAAAGGGGCGAGTCTGCTTTCCCTTTCTTCCATCTCCTCGCCAGGGGAGGGGGTCTGTTCGTTCGAGGCCAGTCCCTGGAGCTGCTCCTCGCTGGTTCGCTATGAACCGAGCTGATCGCGCGGCTCGGCTGTGGAGACCCGCGGTGATGAAGACGGCCTGCCCTGGGGACAGTGGCTGGGTGGGCAGTCAGAGTGCGGGCCCCTGTCCGAAGGTCAGCACTGGGACACGGGCTGTCTGGAGCGCAGGTGTTGACGCCTCCACTTTCTCTCCCGCACCCCTCCAGGAAAGAAGACTCCCAGCCCCGGGCGCTTCCCAGCGAGGGCCTTGCAGCCTGGCATCTCTCGCCCTGGGAACTCCAGTCTCTGGGGCGGCCCAGAGCTCCTTGTCCTTGTCCTTGTCACAAAGGATTTCTGACGACCTAGGTAAGCCTTATGATTTAGCTAATGGGGGAAGGGCAGACCAGAGAGGGAAAGTGATCTATCCAAAGTTTCCAGGAGCAGCTAACCAGTACCCATCGGACAGACACCCTCCTTGCATATTCCGGGGTAGGCCAGAGGGACACCGGGGAACTTGGGAGGAGACGACTCAATTCCATGTGTCCCCAGCTTCCCCTGGGGAAGCTGACAACAGGTGAAAGGCACTTGTGCCTGCCAAGTGCTCCCCGGTGGAGACTAGTCAGTCCCGAAGACAGGAATTCATGTCACTGCTGTGGAGTTTAGGAGAGCAACCTGCAGCTAGAAATCCCAAGTCCGGGGTCTTTTCTGATGTCTCTTTTCTTGTGGGTCACCTGCTGCCCCCATGAGTCCTCTCTAGCCATGCCTCGACACCTGGCCTGCAGTGTGGGGTCCCCATGGAGAGCCTGTGGGATGGGCTTGTGGCCTTTTCTCTGGGCAGGGGTGCCTTAGTCCCTCCAGGTGCAGCACGGAGAACCAGAGGCAGGCCACGCCCACCGAATACTGCCCCTCCCCCCCCGTTTCTCATCTGGGGAGGGAGCCAGCCCCAGGGGTGGGTCGCCTGGGTGACACATCAGGAGTCTCTTCTCGCATATGGAGGAGAGCCCTTCTCTTTCAAGGAAACTTTCCTGCACACCGCCTTTGGGTTCCAGTTAAGTCTAAGCATGCCCAGACCCTCTACCCACACCCCCCCTCGCCTCCAGTCACCGCAAGCCCCCCACCTGCGGAGGCAAGAAGGGAAGATTCTGGAATGAAGTGGAGTGGGTGGGAGGGGAGCTGGCTCACCCACCTCTGGACTTCCCCTCTCTCTCAGTGAAAATCCCACCCAATTATCGCATTACCGGGGGCCTGGGCTGTGGGAGTGGAGTGGGGGACCCGCCTCCACCTCTCAGCTGTGGGGCCAGGGGATTAGAGCCCTTATGGGGAGTCCCCAGAGTCTGCTGGCTCTGCACACACAAAGGGGATGGAGCTGTTGGGCACAGTGTCCTCACCCGCCAGGTCCCCCTGGGCTCCTTCAGCCACTGGCTTCTCCCTCCCTGGTCCCTTCCCTCAGCTATGCAGGTGATGGTCCGGGGAGAGTGAACTGGGCAGCCCTTTCTGGTGTAGGGGGAGAGAGTGGGGAGCCTCCTAGGGATGTGCATCTTGGCAAGCCTTTGGGAAGGCTGCAGCCTGGCTGAGCTGCATGGTGGCGGCCCGGGCCGGGGGCTGCCACAGCCCTTCCTTACCCCACTGCGGTCTTTGCGTGAGAGACCTTGGAGGGAAGGCTGGCCTGGCAGGGCCTCCTGGGTCTGGATGGCAGGGACCACCAGCCCTCCATGGATCCTAGGAGGCACCGCAGACGGAGAATGGGCGTTGTGGGTGTTCCCAGAAGCACGGGGGTGGGGTGACGTTCATTCCCACTCCCTGACTTTCAGCGGGAAATTCTGCAGTCTGGCACGAGGGTAGAGTCCAGCCTGGCATGTCTCTGCTCTGTGCCACGCTTCTGTGGAGCCACAGGGGACCTGGCTCCCTGCCTCCAGGAGCCCGCTGTGGCTGAGGACTGTTTCTCAGCAGCGCCCCCTGCTGTCTCGCAGAGGGAGCTTCCTTGGAAAACCAACGCCACAGGGCTGTCAAAGTATTCCCTACTCCCCCACCCCCCACCCCCCACCCCCGCTCAGGGATGACCCCGAGAAAGGGTCCCAGGGTGCGCTCCCAGGGGGAAGAAGGCGCAGTCCCAGGAGCCTGGGAGGCCAGGTGGGAGGGTAGCGACTGAACTCGCTGTGGTGTGTGAGCCCCTGTGTCCCTGGGGGATGGGCAGACTGCAGCCCTGCTCACTTGCTTCCTAGAGCCCTGGAGCCTGTGACTGTGAGATAAGGGGGGGCCCGGAATCCCGCTCCACCCACAGGTCAGCCAGGGACAGCTACTCGCCAGGTAAGGACTTTCTGCCCCTCAACACTTTTCACAGAACCCAGGCTGAGAGAGACACCCGGTGGTGTGGCTTAGCAAGCGACTTGATCCATACAACAAGTGCAGTAATCAGTAGGTCTTTGAAAAAAGTACACTTTGTAATTCATTCTCCCATGACTACAATTATGTGGGGAGGGGGTGAGTGAGGGCCCTCATGTCACCCCCACCTTCTCTTTATCGCAGCAGCAGCCAGGGGCCCAGCAGAGGCAGTGTATGTCTCTCCCACAGACAAGGCCACTGCAGTGTGTCTCTGAGCATGGAAAATGCCCCCCCCCCCAGCACCTTTCAGGATTTGCTGAGACACCCTAAGGTGCCTTGGCACACAGTTTGGGAACCAGGGCTCTACTGACAGCAAGGGGGGCAGGGGTAGGGAGAGGGTCTGACATCACCACTGGGCCACAGTTTCCCTCTTGTGTTGTGTTCTAAGAGCGTCTCCTCCCCAGTCACCTCCTCTTGGTTTCCAGAAGGTTCTCTGTGTAAAGCTAGGCTGTAACATCAGTCAATTTGCCTGAGGCTGTTTGAGTTCAGTGACAATCCACATGCTCTGGGGCCCTGGTCCCCCAGTGCCCTGGGAAGGCACGTCCAAGGAGGCTCAGGACAGCTTACCGTCAACTTCCCCTGTGCCCCCAGAGCAGGTCAGGGGTCTCTTGGATTACATTTGCCACAAAAGTAAAGCCCTCCATATCTGAATGCTGCTGGTGGGGCTTGGGGCCTCAAGGCAGCAAGAGAAGCCAGGATGGGGTGAGATGGGCGTGTTCCCATGGGAGCACACATGGCCCCTGGACTCATCTCTGCCTGGGTTCCTGAGAGTTTGGGGCAGACCTTCTGAGAACCAAGACATCCGTCTCAAGTTATCATACTCCATGGTGGGTGATCCGCCCCAGCCGACACTGGAGCCCTGGGAGGAACTGGGCTCAGGGCAGTGACAGGGGACCCCGGGGTGTCGAGACCCCTCCTCCAGGCACCTCCGGGGCCTTTCTGCAGGGGATTGCCAGCCTGCACCTCTGGGCATCCCATGGAAGGCTGCCATCAAAGGCTCAGGGAGTGAGTGTCTCCCACAGCTCAGACCCTCTGCACATTTTGGGGTGTGTAGCCCTAGCTCATGCGCCTCACTCTGTGGGCACCCAGCCTCCTGTCTCTACTCCACTTAGGACATGGCCACCCAGCTGGCGTGACTGACCCTATGCTCACCGAAGCTTGTGTTATTCTTGAGCCCACTGTCTGACAGACGGAAGTGGCCTCATGATGTGGGAATTTGGGGGGGAAAGGGTGGAATCCTGAAGTCACAGAAGTGGGACACCAAGTTCTAGGTCCCCAAGTAGCCACACAGTGCATTATCCGTGAAGGAGCAAATTCACTCCCAAAGTGCTGGCGTCACCCAGCCACAAAGTCAGGGGGCTCAGAGCAGCTGGAGAGAGCAGCCATCAGATCTTGGCATCATATGATTCCCAAAGCAGGGATCCAGGGCTGGAGAATCTTAGATCCATAAAGAAACAGAATGTGGGGGTAAAGATAAGCATGGCAGAGTCCTGTTATCCCCACTATGTGGACTGCAAGTCAGCTGTTCAGGGGTCTGTACTTCTCTGGGGTCTCACTCACCTGCTAAAGGACTTCTTAGCCCAGCCTTTCTGCCCAATGTGCTATGGGCTTGCTCAGCCACGCTTCTGGGCCGTCAGCTCCACCATGTGGAGATGCTGAGGGCCGTAGTGTTGTCCAGCCACCAGGGGTCACTTGCAGGTCCCCCACCTGCAGGCATCTGGGCTCAGCTGTGGGTGGAGCTGGCCCAGCCCCTCCTCAGCCCTCAGCATTCCAGCCCCGCAAATGCGGATCCCTCTCTTCCTGGTAACCGGTGCCCACAGCCCTGGCTGGTCTGCATTGGATGCAGCAGGCAAACTGCTTGATCCCAGACAACTACCCTCAGGGCATGAGTCACAGCTCAGGCCCTAGGGGTCAAGTTTAACGCCCATGGGGTGGGCGTTCAGAGCATCAGGGTCTGGGTGGTGGCACCCTTGCAGTACTGCCCACGACCTACACACAGTCTGTGATTCCCTCCCCACCAAGACCCCCACTCCTTCTGTGCACCCTCAGTGCCACCCCCTGGTTCCATCAGCAAGAGTGAGGGGAAGCATGCATCCCTCCACTGCCCCTCCCTGGGCTGAAGAGGTCGGGTGTCATCCCCACCACACCTCTCCATTGGGCAATGTGGGTGAGGAGGGTTGAGCAGGGCCGGCCAGGGTCTCCGCTGGCCACCCCTTCCATCCTGCTGTTCTCAGGCTGAGTTGGGACATGGTGACATACGTCCTGAAAAGCTCCACCCAAAACTCCCTGCTCTGCAAGTCTCTCCACCCAGCTTCCCCATTGGCTAGCTTCCCTTCTGCTCTAGGGGACAGGGTTTTCCACCAGTCCAGCTGGTCCAGGAGAGTCAGCAAACATGTGTTCCCATGTCTGGACTCAGCAACCATCCCTTGTCTCTGAATCTTCCATCTGCCCTACAGCCCAGCTCCTTCCTCTTAGGCTACAGGCTAGGCGCTCCTTGAAGTGGAACTATTTTTTCTCATTTCTGTTTCCATTCTTTGATGCTACTGTGTAGAAATACCACTGATTTTAGTACATTGAGCTTCTACCCTTCCTAGTTCTAGTGGTTTTGTTTCTCCCCATAGATTCTGTGGGATTTTCTAGAGAGACATCCTGTCATCTGTCAATAGAGACCCTTTTATGTCTCACTTTCAATTCTGGGTATCTTTCATTTTTTTTTCTTGCCTTATTGCATTGGCTAGAAACGCCAGGAGAGTGACGAATTAAAGTGGTGAGGGTCAATAACCTAGTTTTGTTCTTGATTTAGAATACAAGCAATGCAGTGTCATTTAAGTATGATGTCAGTGGTAGGTTTTTTTTTTGTTTTTTTTTGTTTTTTTTAATAGATGCCCTTTATCAAGTTGAGGAAGTTCCCTTGTATTCTTAGTGGGCTGAGTTTTTATCCAAATATCAGAATTTGTCAATTGATTTTCTGCATCTATCGAGACAATTGATAGTTTGTATTATTTTGATCTGTTAAAATACCAAATTTTATTAATATTTAAATATCAAACCAACCTTACATTCCTGGGATAAATCCCATTTAGTCCCGAGGTACTGTCCTCTTTATATATTGTTCAGTTGGATACACTAACGCTTAGTTAAGATTTTTGGCATCTGTGTTCATGAGGGATATTGGTCTGGTATTTTCTTTTCTTATAATATCTGTCTGAGTTTGGCATCAGGATAATTCTGGCCACATGGACCATTCATGACTATTACAAACTTAAAAAAAATTTTTTTAAACATTTATTTATTTTTGAGAGACAGAGAAAGAGCATGAGAAGGGAAGGGGCAGAGAGAGGAGACACAGAATCTGAAGCAGGCTCCAGGCTCTAAGCTGTCAGCCCAGAGCCCAATGTGGAGTCAAATTCACAGACTGTGAGATCATGACCTGAGCTGACGCTGGACACAATCAACTGAGCCACCCAGGGGCCCCTATTATAAACTTTTAAATGTTCTAGAAAAGTTTGTGGAGAATTGTTAGTATTTTTCTTGAATATTTGGTAAAATGTGCTGTTCAGCACTCGCATGATTTGAGGGAGCACTCTGCAGATCTTGGGAGTAGTGTCCACAGAGTTCTGTTACCTCTGGTGCTCTGTCCTGTGAGCCCCAGCCAGTCTGGATTCCTAGACTCCCAACTGTGTCTCCTTAACTCCATGAAGTCTGAGGGCTCCTGCTGGGTCCTCCACCCTCTAGCACTGGGGACTCTCCCCAGTTGGCCTGACAATTGTAGGGCTCAGCTTGTTTGCTTCCCCTCTTTTAGGGATAACTCCCCTGCATGTTTTAGCCCTCACTCTCTGTCGTTTCACATATTTTTCTCATTACTGTCCTGTTCTTTGTTGTTGTTTTATATAGGAAGGCAAATCCATGCCCTATTCCTCTGTGTCAGATGGAAGCAAAAGTCTTGGTGTCATGTTGATTTTAGTTCTGCTAGTGGGTGTGAGGTGGTAGCTCATGTGGTTTTCATCTGCTTTTTTCCTAATGACATTTATGTACCTTCTTACTTTGAGGTATCTGTTTGAGTATTTCATATTATTTCATTGATATTTTTGCCTTATTTTTTATTTGTAGAAGTTGTTTATACATCTTGGATGCAAGTCCTGCATGTGTGTGTGTGGTTTCATGAAATTTTACCACAGTGTAGAACTACCACTACAACCTTATGAAACTACTCTATCACCTCCAAAAACTCCCTATGTGGCTCCTTTTGTCCACAACCCCGGGAGACCACTGATGTATTCTCCATTCTCAATAATGTTGTCCTTCTGAGAATGTTGTATAAATGGAATGATATGGCATGTGACTCTTTGAGACCGTCTTCTTTCGCACAGCATAACGTCTTTGAGTTTCGTCTCACTGTTGAATTTATCAATAGTTATTCCTTTTTGTTGCTGGGGAGTGTTCCAACATAAGGAGGCACCATGTTTGTTGACCCATTTACCCATCCTCCTGTTAAAGGACATTTGGGTTTTTACCAGTGTTTGGCAATCATGAATGGATCTGCTACAAACTTTAGTGTACGTGGGTTTTTGTGTGAACAAAAGTTTTGTTTCTCCCAGGAATAAATATCTAGGAGTTTTCCAGATCGGCTGCACCATTTTGCATATAATGAGACATCCATGTCTCACCAGCATAGAGGTTCCAGTTGCTCCACATTCTTGTTAACACTTTGCATTTTATTGTCAGGGATTGTTTTTATCTTAGCCGTCTTAAGAGATATGTAGTGATTGCCTATTGTGGTCTTCATGTACATTTCCCAATGGCTAATTCTGGTGAGCATCTTTTCATGGATCACTTTGCCTTTTGTGCAATCTCTTTGGTGATGTATCTTCTGAAATCTCTTACCCATTAAAAACACTTTTTATTTAAAAATAACTAGGTCCACGAAAATAGTACATAAAGTTTCCATGTACCCTGCATTTATTTCCCCCCATGGCTATATATTACATAATTACAGAGCAATGTCAAAAGCAGAGAATTGGCACTGATATGATTTTGTCATCTACATGTAATTACTGCCACCACAACCAAGCTATGGACCGCTTTCACCACCACAGAGCTCCCCCTCAGGTTACCTGTTTATAGAGTCTCCCACCCCTGCCCTCAAATTCCTACCCTGGCATCAGGAATCAATTTTTCATCTCTATAATTTTGTCATTTCACAAAATTTGTACACATGAAATCATACACCATGTGACCTATTCAGATTGGCTTTTTCACTCATCATAATGCCTTGAGATCAATTTAAGTTGCTGAGTGGATCAATAGTTATTTTATTTTTGTATTGGTAGGTACTACATTTAATGGGTGTACTAGAGATTGATTAACCATTCACTAGTTAGGGATATTTTGGTCATTTGTGTTGTTTTAGCTATTACAAATAAAGTAAGCTATTTATATTTAATGTAATTGTTGATATATTGCTGTGGCCTATGCCTGACATTTTATTTTTCGTTTTCTGTTTGTTCCTTTTGTTTCTCTATTTTCTTTTACATACATTCCTGTGGGTTACTTGAACACTTTTTAGGATTCCATTTTAGTTTATCTACAGTGCTTTTGTGTTTGTGTGTGTGTGTGTTTGAAATAATTTATAATTTTAATAAAGTTATTTCATGTATGAGTAAAATGAGTCTTGCTAATAAAACCAAATAAAAATGGGTTTTAAAAATCATATTCTCTACCGTGTTGTTGAGTGTATGACTTTGTAAGCTTTTTTACTGGTTAGTCTAGGTATTACATTTTATGTATGTAACACACAATCTACTGGAGTTTGAGTATAATGTAGAAAAGTTACATCTCTTTACCAGATATTTTACCAGTTCAAAAACATCCTTTTGCCATCTCTCATTTATAACATCATCATCTTAAATGTTTCCTTCTACAGACTTTGAGAACCACACAAAACAGTGTCCCGATTTTTGCTTAAACCATCAAACACAATTTGAAAACTTAAGAGGGGAAGGAAATCCTATTCAATTTACCTACAATTTTAGTCTTTCTTCTTCCATAATGTTCCTTGATTCTTTCTTTCATCATTTCCTTTCTTTTTCATAAACTTCTTTTAACTATCATTTCAGAGCAGGTCTACTGGGGACACATTCTCTTTATTTTCCTCCCCCTGGAATGTTTTCAGTCTCTCTTCATTACAGAAGGATTTTTTGGCTGACCGTAGAATTTGAGGTTGAGAATTCTTTTCTTTCTCTTGAAAAATACCCCACTTCCTTTGGCTTCCATCGTTTCTAATGAGAAAACCCCACAATTCAAATTGTTTTCTCTGGTCAGTAAGGTATCTCTTTCCTCTTGATCCTTTCAAGATTTTTTCTTTGTCTTCATTTTTCTCAAATTTGACAATGATGGGTCCTGCTGTGCATTCTTCCCATTAATCTTGCTCAAGGTTTTCTCAGCTTCTTAAATTTTCTTAGCTTCTCTAGGTTTAAACCTTTTGCCAACTTTGGGAAATCTTTTCCATCCTGGCCATCTTTCTCCTGTCCTTCCAAGATTCTAGTGACACAGGAGACCTTCTGTCTTCCACCGGTCCCTTGAGCTCTTCTCTTTACTTTCTGTTTTCTTTCTGATGTTCAGATTGGGTGGTTTTCATTGTGCCTTCACATTCCCTGAGTCTTTTATCCTTCCTACCCATTCAGCTGTGAAGCCCACATTTTGATATTTTTATTTTTCAGTTCTAAAATTTCTGTTTGGTTCTTGTTTATATCTCCTATGTTTTGTCTGACAATTTCTTCCCCTCCCCCCATTATTTCAAGTATATTTGTAATTGCCTGTGAATCATTTTTCTGATGGCTTCATTTAATTCCTTGTCAGATAAGTTCAATGTCTGTGCCATTTTGTTGTCCATTGATTGTCATTCAGGTGAAGGATTTTTCTTGGCAGCATGAGGATAGGGTGTCACATTGAAGTCTGTGGTACAGATCTGCTGATACACCAGCCAGTGGCGAAGGAGATGCCACATCACTGCCCCCAGGGGACAGACACAGCTCCTTGCCACATTCCCTCTGCACCTTGGGGATGAGGAGGGGGCTAATAACCCCTGGGCACTGATCTCTTGCTCATCTTCCATGTCATCTCCTTACGCAATGTGTCATGCTACTTCTGCTTCAGATGGTAATGGTGTCTGGTGGCTTTTGTTGTGAGATGGCTGACATTTCAGGTCTGTGCTCCTCTGGGGGTGCAAGCTTCCTGTTGAGTCATATGAGCTGGGGAGGCCAGAACCAGCCCTGGTCTGTTTGATCCATGAGTCTAAGAAGATGGCACAGGTTGAGCCCCAGAGCAACAGGTCCAGGGCCCACAAAGCTCTCTGAGCCACTGTGCCTACTGTCACTCCACACTCTGGGTGGCAGGAATTGACACTCAGGGAAACGCAAGACCAGGAGCAGCTGTCTCTACCTGCTGAGGGACCTGTGGCAGTCCACCCTGTTTGTGCCTTCCCCACCAAAGCTTTCAGATACCCTGAGATTAGTTATCTAGGGAGACCAGAACCAGAGTCAGGATCCATGACTGGTGTCTGTGTCCAAGGGACAGATTTAGAAATGGGAGGAGTCAAGATCAGACATTAGAAGTGTTCTTCCTACTGTTAATAAAGCCCAATACATAAGACCACCAGGGGCACCCTTATATAACAAGATATCCTTGAGTGCATTGGCTTACCATTGTAGAGAACTGGAGGAAGCTGGGGGGCCTGGTGCTGTGCTGAGTTTTCCTGAGAGCCTCTGTGAGACAAAGCAGCCCTATATCATGTGCCATCAGTAACTGGGGCCCTGACAGTCTTTGTGGGGGTGGGGCAGGGTGGGACTGGAGGGAGGGAGTAGTCAGCAGGTTCTGGTCTCTTGGGGGTGGGCAGTGCAGCCTGGAGAGAAACGTTGCTCCCCATGGCCTTTGCCTGTGGGAACCATAAATGAAAATCAGCATGGAAAGTCAAGTTGCGAAGGACCCCTTGACCAAAGCTCAGCTCAGGTGTGTGAATTTTCTGTTGGCGCGTAACAAATCAGCACAAGGCCAGCCCATCACAAGACTCCCGGGTCACATCAGTCTGTAGATGGGGTCTCGGCACAGTGTGGCTGGGTCCTCTGCTCTGCATCTCACCAGGCAAAAACAAGGGTGTGGGCAGGCTGTGTCCTCATCCTGGGGCCAGACTGGGAAAGGAGCTGGTCTGAATCCCTATTAATCTTGCTCAAGGTTTCCTCATCAGTGATTTTCTGCATCATTGGCAGAACTGTGTCCTTGTGGTTCTAGGTCTGAGGTCCCCGTTGTCTCACTGCTATTGGCTGGGACTACTCTCAGCATCTAAGAACGATCCTCATGTCCTGGCCCTCCTGGCCTCTCACACTCCTCCAGTCTCTGTGACCTCCAGGAGGACTAGTCCCAGGTACAGGGTCACCTGACTGAGCCAAGCCCACCTGGATATTCAGCTTTTTCAAAACCAGCTGGTCAGTAACCTGACCCCATTACACTCACAGGTTTACCCCCACTCAAGGGTTGGGCTTTTGCAAGGGGGACACATCCAGGGTTGGGAAGCTCAGGGACACCCTGGAACTGCCCAACACTCTGGGTTTGGAAACCAATGCTGCATATCTGTGTCAGAATGATGCACGAGGCTTTGCTCTGTCAGGCAAGAGAGAGTGGTTTCAGACAGCAAGGTCCTGGTTTCTGTGAGTTTGGGGGCAAAGCTTCTCAGAGCAGGTCCTTCTGTGCATGGACATGCAGGTCCGTGGGATCACAGTGGCCTCTCCCTGCCACCTTGGGGCTGCTGTGTCCATGTGTGCTGGTCCTGGAGGGATTCTGTGGCTGCTGTGCGGTACATTGTCTGTCTGTTGCAGGAGTCCTTGGTGTCTGGAATCCAGGGCTGACTTTGCAAGATGGGGGTTGCAGCTCATTCTAATCTGCCACATCAGCGACTGTCTCCATCAGTACCAGCCTTGATGCCAGTGACCAATGTGACACCTCACACATCACATCATTGGTGCTCCCATCTGAGCCAAGCAAGGGCAGCCCAGCCCCGGGGCCACCTGGCTCTCAGCATCCCTGCAGGGCTGGCCGAGCCTCTCCAGTTCCCACTTCCCTGCTTGTGCTGCAGTCGGATCTTCATGAGACTGGCTGAGCGACCCCACCCCAGGCCCTGATGTGTATGCCTGCTTTGTCTTCCTGGTATCTGACTCGCCCCTTGCTCTGCCTCGCTCACCTCCCACGGACCTCCAGCATGTCATGTGCCCCACCCAAGGCTGCTCAGAGCTCAGCCTTCATCACCTTCTGGGCTGGAGCACGTGCCACTGTCCCAGCAAAGCTCTCTTTGACCTGGCTCCCCTGGACCCCTGGTGCCTCTTCCCTGACTTAAGTGTCCTGTGCCACGTGTCACCCCTCGGGCTCTCCTGAGTCATCTCCATGTCATCCATGTAGCTGCCCGTCACCTGTCAGTCTGTCTACTCATCTATGGATCTGTCTGCCTATCACCTATCTTCTGTTATCAATCATCTATCTATCTATCTATCTATCTATCTATCTATCCATCCATCCATCCACCCACCCATCATCTATTATCTATCTATCTATCTATCTATCTATCTATCTATCTATCTATCTATCATCTATCTCTCTATCTCTCCGTCATCTATCTATCATTTGTCAACCTATCATTTATCTATCACCTATTGATCTATCATTTATCAATTAATCTACCTACCTCCTTTGTGTCTATCTACCTATCTGATTTACTATTTGTCTCCCCATAGTAGAATGTAAGTTTCAAGAAGGCAAAATTTTGCCTGCCTGTTCTCTGCTGTATCACTGGTACCTGGCAGAGGTTGCAGCCCTTAGTGTGTGATAGATCTTGTGGACAAATGCATCTGAAGTAGCACTGACCAGCGGGAGGCCCTGATGGGCATGCTCTGTGCCTCTACTGCCTACTGCAGTAGCCACCAGCCGTGTCTGCTTCCCCACATCTGAGATGTGGCCAGGGCAGCTGAAGACCTCAGCGTTTTGTTGTAGCCACTTTGAATTAATTTTGGCTTGTGTTTAGGTAGGCACCTGTCAGCTCTAAGGTGCATGGTGGAGACCTGGTGGGGGCCCGCTCCTGCTGAAGGCCTGCTGTCCCAACACGAAGGACATGCCAGCACTTGTTTGCCATGACCCCTCAGGATTCACTTCTGCTGGGAGCCCACACCCGGGCTGCTGGGGGTCCTCGCCAACCTTGCAGGAGGGCACTTCATCTCCTGTGTTGTCGCAGGCATACCTGGTGGAAGCCCCCAGCTTTGTGAGCACCGTGCGCACACCTCTCAGGTTGCTGGGGCCCGCATGCAGCTTGTGACAGGTGCGCAGGATGCTGCCGCCTGTGGGGTGGCTGAGCATCCACCCGGCGAGGTGTCCAGAGACCTCTGTCCCTGAAGTCTGAGGTCCCAGGTCCAAGCACAGGCACCCTCAGCTGGCTTTGGTCCAACGAGAAAGCCATAGCACGGAGATGCTGATAGGGCTCTGGTTTCCGGGACCTTCCGTCAGAGCACAGGCTCAGAGAACAGTGGTGCCCCCCTTGCTAAAGCTGGTGGGCATGACTGGGAAAACACCTGGACTAGGTCTTACCTTCTGGGCATGCCACATAACAGCAGCTTCACGCTTTGCAGGGGGCAGTTGAAGCCTCGAGGCCTGTGGACATATGCAGCAGAGCACGTGGCCTGGCCTGTGTCCCCTCCATCTTCCTCCCTTAGATCAGAGCCCTTCAGTGGCCTCAGTTTACCCAAATCACCTCTTTACAGGCTGTCTCCAAACACGGTCACACTCTGAGGTCCTGGGGGTTGGGGTGCCCACATGTGGATTTCGGGGCCGCAATCCAGTCCACAGCCACCTCTGTGGGCTCCAGCTGTGGTCTCAGCTGGGGGTCTGCTGGACCCCACCCTGCACTACTCGCTGGAGCCCCCAGCTCACTCATCTGTTTTCTTTCTTCCAGAAGTCTGCTGTAATCTGTGCCCGGCTTCTCCTGAAGACTCTCCCCTGGGCCTTGTATGCTCTCATTCACTTATGGCCATTTTAGTGAGGCCTGGGGAGGAGGAACAAACCAGTGTGTGAGCTCCAAGCCCGTTTTCTTCACCAGGTCTTCTTGTATCTTTAAACAGTTAAATTTTCCTGGAAACACTGTTTGAGAACAGGTCTCCTCTGGGGGACATTTATAAGCCTCGTAATTTTGTCCTGTTGCGAATAAAGCTTCGGTCACGACCTCTGTCCAGGACGTTTGTGCATCTCTGTTATTTTTCTAGCATAAATGCCCAGAAATTGGGCCAATGCTTTGATGAGGTTGAGACTTCTGAGGTCTACTGCCAGATGCCCTATAAACACGTGTAGCATTTTGCCTTTGACCACTGACATTTTCTTCTCATGCTCAAGAAGGCCTTTCTCACTCTGAAGTCAAAAGAAAGGTCTGTATTTCACTCTCATTTGGTTACAGTTTCTTGCACCCTCCGAGCATTGTTTATGGGGGTGCAACTTTCTCTTTTTCAAGTAGTTCATTCATTCCATTTATTTATTTATATTTCATGATTCTCAGGGTTTTTTTTTTAAGTTTTTAAATTTAATTTTTATTGTGAGAGAAAGAGCATGTGTGCACAGGAGCAGGGGAGGGGAAGAAGGAGAGAGAAACAGAGAGAGAGAGAAATCCCAAGCAGGCTCTGTGACAGCACAGAGCCTGATGCAGGACTTCAACTCATGAACCCTAAGATCATGGGTCCAACACTTAACCGCCAGAGCCACCAGGTGCCCTCATTCGTTCCCTGTAAACCGAGTCTCATGCAGCACAGCCCTGCTGGGCGCTTATGGATCCTCCCTCCCTCCAGCTGGCTGAACGCAGGAACTGCATGTGGGAGGGACACAGACAGGGTGGACTGGCTGCTGGGCCAGGCTCACGGGGATGACCACCATGTCAGGACAGTCCTGCTCTCGTGACAACAGGGGCACGGCCAGCAGCCTCCCTAATGGGACAGCCACGCTAGTCTTCACCGAAGGACGTCTTTCTCACCAAAACGTAGACATCAAAGTTTGAGCAGAGACAAACAGCTCAGAGATGCACTCGCATTTGTGACTGATTTGGCCCCATGCAACTTCAGAGCTGATTACACAGTTCTGTGCAGCTGCTTCTTGGGAAGCCCAGGGAGGCAGAGGGAATGGGGCACTGGAGGTATTCCTGGAGGACATGCTGTTGACCGTGGCACAGTGGTCAGCACACACAGCGGGAGGTGGGGAGCCTCGTGACAGGCTGCATATCCTGCTCCATGCACCTCTCCCATATCACATACTGCTCCATGCACCTCTCCTGTATCACACACAAAGGAGTCCTGGGGGTCTGTGCCCCTAAGCCTGCAGGAAGAAGTTGCAGGAAATGCAAGTCCAGCATGATGAGCAGTGACCTTTAGAGTCGAGGCTGCTCAGTGTCCCCCGGCTGCCGGCACCTGGTCCCCACTGTGTCCCTTGGTTGCCCGCACCTGGCCCCTGCCGTGTCCCCGGCTGCTGGCATCTGGCCCCCACTGCTGAGCTCAACAGCCACCCCATCTCCAGCCTCAGAGGAACCTGCGAAGCCTCAGAGCCTGGTGGGCTCTGGTTCAGGGTCAAGCCATTGGGAGCATGCTGATTCCCCGGGGAGCGCTCAGCATGGCCTGCTTGTCCTCATCCTCCCCTGTGGGGAGATCAGCCAGCCCCCTAGAAGCAAGGGGATCTGATGAAACACGGAGGCCTTGGGGTCAGAGGTCTCTGGAGTCAGTGCGGCGGGGCAGGGTTTGGCTAGAGTGAACAGTCTAGGTGAAGGATCCACATCCCCTGGGCTCACCAGGGAGCCTGCAGCCAGGGTGCGAGTCCCCGCTGTGGGTTGGGGGCTTCCAGGATGCACACTGGCCCCTACATGCAAATAGCTCCCTTTCTGCTGAGTCCTGACTTACAGTGCAGGTGTGAATGGCTTCTCAGTCCCAGCGCTTGCCCTGCTTTTTCTGCTGGTCCAGGGGTGAATACCGGTCTAGCCTACCAATGGGGACATCTCCTGGGTGGGACCGTACCTGCCAGCAGCAGGTACACCATGATAGAAACAAAATGCTTTCTCAAATCAGGTTTTGCCATCAAGTCAGGGGATGGACTATTTCTGGACATAGATGTTCTGACTTCCCTTGGCACTTGGACCCATGGATTCTTTATAAGTGTGTAGCTTAGTTTCCAAGTATTTGGACAATTCCCTGCTGTCTTTGTTGTATTGATTTCCAGTGTGATCCCACTGTGGCCAGAGAAGACACTCTGTATGATTTCAATTTTTTCAAACTTGGTGAGGTTGTGTCATGTCCTGCGGCATGGTCTTGGAAGATATCCCTGACATTAGCAGGGAGTGCATGGTCTGCTGCTGTTGGGTGATGTTAATCAGACCGTTTGGTCAATGGGCTTGTTGGCTCCTCAATGACCTTGCTGATTTTCTGCCTAGTAGGTTGATCACCTGCTCACAGAGGCTGAGGTCCCCAGCTACCATGTGAATTTGTATACATCTCCTTTCAGCTCCAACAATTTTTACCTTGTGGATTTTGAAGTTCTGTTGTTTGGTGTGTACACCTTTGGAAGGCAAAAGGAAAACAGAACATATTAAATATGTGGGGTGCAGCAAAAGCAGTGCTGAGAGGGAAATTTATAGCTCTGAGTGCTTACATCAGAAAAGAGGGCGGGTTTCAAGGCAATATTCTCAGTTCCAGCTTCAAGAAACTGGAAAAGGGGGAGCAAAATAAAACCAAAGCAAGAAGAAGGAAGGAAATAATAAAGTTAAGAGCAGAAATAGATGGAATTGGAAACAGGAAAATAGAGAAATCAATGACAAAAAAGCTGGCTCTTCAAAAAACTGGATCATGTTTATAACCTTCTAGCAAGACTAAAGAAGTTAAACTGGGGGGAAGACACAAGCCACCAAGATCAGGACATCAGGACAAGGAGCATCACTACAGACCCCAGGACATCACAAGGATCATGAGGCAATGTTATGAACACTGTTATGCTAAAAAAAAAAAAAGTCAAGAAGTTAGAAGAAACAATTCCTCTCAAACTATAGATTACCAAAACTCAACGAAGACAAAAGAAATCACTTGGATAGTCCTATAACAATTTTTTAAGTGATGTAAACAAAAAGCCCCTAAAAAAGAAATCTCCATCACCCAATGGTTTCATTGTAGACTTCTATCAAACATTTGAGGAAAAAATAAGATCAATCTTATACAATGTCTTCTAGGAAATAGAAGAGATGGAAATAGACCCCAATTCATGTTAGGAAGCTAGCATTATCCTATCTGATGCCCAAACCAGGCAAAAGTACGAAAAAGTAGAAAACAACAGACTAATATCCCTTATGAACGTAGAAGCAAAATTCTCAGCAAACTACGTATAGCAATGTTCAAAAAGAATTATATACTATGGAAAGTGGGACTCATTTCATATGTGCAAGTCTTGGTCCACATTTGGAAATGAACCACTACAATCAATCATAACCACAGGTTAAAGGAGAGAAATCATATGATTGTATTGACTGATGAAGAAAAGGCATCTGAAAAAATCCAACACTCATCCATGACAAAAACTCTTAGCAAACTAAGAACTGAAGAGAACTTCTTCCACTGATAAAGACTATTAAAAAAAAAAAAAACCCAGGGTTGCCTGGGTGACTCAGTCGGTTGAGTTTCAGACTCTTGATTTCTACTTAGGTCATGATCTCATGGTTCATGTGTTTGAGCCCCATGTCAGGCTCTGTGCTGACAGTGCAGAGTCTGCTTGGGATCCTCTCTCCCTCTCTCTCTGCCCCTCCCTGCTCATGCTCTCTCTCTGTCTCTCAATAAACAAATAAATAAACATTAAAAAAAACCAAACTCTGCAAGTAACATACTTAATGGTGAAAAGCTTTCCCTGTAAGATGGAGAACATAGCAAGGATGTCTGCTCTCCTATTCAACATAGAATTGGAAGTTCTAGTCAGTATGACAATACAAGAGAAAGAATATTGGCAGATAATGTGGTTATCTGCACAGGCTATCCCAATGAATCTTAAAAACAACAACAACAACAACAACAACAACTCACAAAACCTTCTGGAACTTAGTTTTCTAAGTTTGGAGTATTCAAAATCAACACATAGAAAGAATCAACCTCATGTCTATAACACGTAGAAAGTGAAATATGATTTTAATCAGTCCAAGGAAAGGAAATACTTATTGATAAACTTAACAAAGCACATACAGGGTCTGTGTGCTGAAATTACAAAATAATGTTAAAAATTTTCAGAGAAAACCTAAACAGAAATGTGTTTGTGTTTGTGGATTGGAAAACTCGAACATAGCAAAGATGCCATTTCTCCCCAAGTTGATCTATAGGTTTCACATAATCCCTACAAAAATCTCAGCAAGGTGTTTTTTCCATAGGCACAGACAAGCTTATCCTAAAATTTATACGAGAAGGCACAGATCCTAAACTAGCCAAAAAATCTTGAAAAAGAATGGATTGGAAGAAGCGGTCTTCTCAGTGTTCACGCCTGCTGTACGACCACAGAAATGAAGAGACTGTGGTACCTGTGGAGTTGCACTGCAGACCCTGGGGCATGACATTTGCAAACCAGCTGTCTGGCAAGAATTATACCTACAATATATTAAGAGCTTTCAACACTCAACATTAAAAAAGTCAATCCAATTAGAGAATGGGAAAAAGATAAACACATCTTTCACCAAAGAGGAGATACATATGGCAAATAAGAATCATTAGTGTTCAACTTCATTAGCCATAAGGGAAATGCAAATTAAAACCAAAATGAGACACCACTGCATGCCTATAAAAACATCTGAAAAAACAGTGACAAGCCCCAAATATTGGCAGGGATGTTGAGAAACTGGATCTTTTGTACACTGCTGGTGGGATTGTACAATGGTGCAGCCACTCTGGAGAATTGTTTGACAGTTTCTCACAAAACTGAACATGCAACTACTATATGACCCAGCATGGGTCTCCCGGGCATGCATCCCAGAGAAATAAAACTTATGTTCACACAAAACCTTTACACAATGTTTACAGCAGTTTTTACTCATAATAGCCAGAAACTGGATGGAGCCCAGGTGTCCCTCAATGGGCGAGTGCTTAACACACTGTGGTCCATCCAGAGGACACTGTGGGGTCCTCTGCAGCATAGAAGAGAAGAAACTTACAGCTGACAACCTGGGTCGGTCTCCAGAGAATT